CCTCCACAGATTCTGATTTAATTAGTTTTAGATAAGGTCTGAGCTTTTTTTTTTTCCCAATAAATTTATTTATTTATTTATTTTTGGCTGTGTTGGGTCTTCGTTGCTGCGCGCGGGCTTTCTCTAGTTGCGGTAAGCGGGGGCTACTCTTCATTGTGGTGCGTGGGCTTCTCATTGTGGTGGCTTCTCGTGTCGTGCAGCATGGGCTCTAGGCGCGCAGGCTCAGTAGTTGTGGCACACGGGCTTAGTTGCTCCTCGGCATGTGGGATCTTCCCGGACCAGGGCTCAAACCTGTGTACCCTGTATTGGCAGGTGGATTCTTAACCACTGCTCCACCAGGGAAGTCCCAAGAGGGCTGTTTTTGACTGATGCTTCTCAAATTGTGATCCAGGGACCAAGAGTATCATCACCTGGCATCTTAGTAGAAATGTAGATTCTTTGCCCCCATCCTTGATCTCTTGATTTAGAATTTCTGGGGGTGAGACAGAGGACCCTCTATCTTGGCAGTGTCCCTGCCCGGTTGATTCATGGAACATTAAAATTTGAGACACACTGGTAGTAAGAACTGACTCAGGACTTTTTAACAAAAATATTTCTGTTTGCCTCTGGCTAAATTACTCAGCCTTCAGATATCAGATACCTGCATGGTTCTGTCTGCCTTAGTTCAGGTCTCTGCTCAAAGGTGAGAGAAGCCTTCCATGACAAAAACTTATTCTGTACCAGCCCCTCCTTCCATCTCTTCCTATACGTTTATCCTGCCTTATTCTTCCTAAAAGCATCTCTCACTATCAGTGTGTTACTGCCCTGGTACCCCATTATGCTATTAGCTCCATGAGATCAAGGTCTTTGCCTGCTTTGTTCACTGCTGTATCTTTCACATCTAGGCTCCTTGGCTGGCACAGAGCAGGCTCTCAGTAATTATATTTTGAATAAATGATTCGGGAGATAAATCATGAGGTCCTGATCTACATGGTGCGTCTTTCAGTTCTTCGTTCCAGCAGTCATTCTGTGAATCTTTGTTGAGTTCCTGGCAAGTGCCTGCAGCAGCGTCCTAACCGTTGGAGACACAGCAAGAAACAAAACTCCCTGCAAGACAGATGTGATGAATATAAATGAGCAAAATACCTAGTAGGATGTTAAAGAGTGATACGTGCTAAAGAGAAAAGAATTAAGCAGGGATGGGGGGGGTCAGAAGTGTTGGGGTGTCATTAGGAGATTGAAATTCTCTGTAGGGAGGAACTGTCTGAGGAGGTGACATTCAAATAAAGAAGGACGTGATTCTTGGTGTGGCCCTGGTAACAGTCTTTCTGGCCCCAGCCCCTTCCCCTTCAGATCTCCCATTTGCTGGGAGAGTGATCTGTTTCCAACACCAAAGGAATCTTCTGACTCTC